TTATTCATATTTGTTCTCTTTTATTCTTTAAAGTTTAACAATTCATTCTTTATCTTAATATCTCTATATTTGTTTGGGGTTGGCTTTCTTCCCTTTCATCTTTTTTATTGTATAGCAATCTTTCTCCTCAAACCTACCACCTTTCTTTTCTTTCCTTCTTACTTTCTCTTCCTCCCCCTCTTCTTCTCCTCCCTACTTCCTCTTCTTTTCTCCTTCTCCTTCTCTCTTCCTCTCTCTCTCTCCTACTCTAATTTCCCTTCCCTTCCTTCATCCCTCTCTATTGCTGTATCCTTTTATGCATATGGACTACTCAGAGGGCTGAAAAAGTTATTTCTGACTGGTCCTTGCACTTTTGACCAGTCCTCGAACTTACGACTGTCCTCACATTTTACGTTTTTGCCCTATCTTGTCACCATGGTGAAGAGAAGCAGTTGTGAAATGAGTGACATGGTTGTTAAGAAAGCTGCACGGGCATAAATGCGAGGATGGTCATAAGTGTGAGGACCGGTCAAAAGTGCGAGGCCCAGTCAGAAATGACTTTTTTCAGCCCTCTGAAAAAAGTCTATGCACATAGCCACGCCCACCTGGTCACATGACGAGCTACCCACGCCTACACAGTCACGTGACCAGCTAGCCACGCCCACCCAGTCACATGATTGCCAAGCCACACCCCCAACTAAGCCACGCCCACAGAACCTGTTGTTAAATATTGAATCCCACCACTGGTGAAAGGGCCTCATAAATGGAATAGCCTAGGGCCTCTTTCAATCTAAATCCGGCCCTGATGGTAATTTTGCATTAGTCTGAGAGCAATAGCCAAACAAGAGTGTAAACCAAAAAAAAAAAAAAAGATTATTAAGAAGAAATTGTTCTATGGGTTTCTAAATTCAGCAGAAGTTCTATGGAGAAGAACAAATTACCAACATAGTCTACATATGTAGGACTATATGAATTAGGCATGAAACCAAGCCTGGTATGAGCCATGTTTGGATTCAAAGTTTATATGTACATTTTATTGATAAAATGAACTTTACTGATTTTTGGTGGGTGACCACAATAGTGTGAAAGATACAGAATTCTGGATGAATACACAAATAGGATCAAGCTGGTAGACTTTCTCCAGTAATTCCAGCTATTGCCCCAAGCATCCCAGTAGAGGAAGAATCAAAGCAGCAGTCACAGCTGAGTGACAAACTAATTGTGTGATTTGAGCCAGCTAGAAATCCCTGAATGAGAATTGGATGTATAAACTGAACGAGAACCAAGACAACAGTGAGACAACAAGACACCACAAGAAATTTCCACCTAAAAGAATCTGTAAAGCAGGGAAGAAAAAAGCCATTTGCTCCAGCTGTGAAACATACTCCCCTAAGGATGCTGTCTCAGTAACTGCAAGGAAGATGCATGTAGATTACTTACTGTAAAGACTGCTACTTGCAAGGAGAGATCAAGGAAGGCATTTGTATGGAACTACCACTAATGTTTGAAGAACCCGAAAAAGAAAGATTTTCAAGCTTCAAAGGAGCATTTATGATGTGAAAGGAGGAATAAGAGCTTGGAACAAAAAGCTGAAACTATACAGTGCATAAAGAGGTGCTTCTGCAAAGAGAATCTGATTCCTGCCTGTTCTTAGGTCTCAGGAATGACAAATGGACATTCCTTCTAAGCTATGTAAAAAAAAACCCTGATTATATGTTACTAAGAGACAGAAGGTAGTCAAGACAAGCTACATAACATTGCGAAGTACCTAAATAAAAAGCTAGAGATAAAAGAAGTAGGAAATTTATCTTGACATTTAAACAGGAAAAAAAAAGGAATTTCTACAATACCGAAGGAGTTTGATGGTGGTGGTGATGATGATGATGATTATGAAAGACATTTTGGAATATTTCCAATTAACAGAGGTCAAAGAAATGGAATAATAAGCTTGATTAAAATTAAAGCAAAATTAAAATGAGCATTTATCAGATAACCAAATAGATAACTGGAAAACTCCTGTATGTATCCACAGAAACAAGGCATGACACTATGACAACTATAGGAATGTTAAACAGAAGAAAAAAAACCCATTACTCTGAGCTTGCTTGTTTTCTTGCAGATGATTCATTACCCTAACTAGGTAACATCAGTACTCTGATGATGTTACCTAGTTAGGGTAATGAAACGTCTGCAAGAAAACAAGCTCAGAGAGCACCAAGGACCCCTCATTTCAATCCTGAGCTACAAATATTCACCTTTATTGGTAGAAACATTACTGAATTGCTATGCAAACTCTTGGAAGATATCCGAAGAATTACCTTAAATCTACAGAATGTCAAAGTAATAGGCAGCAGGAATCCCAGACAGATGGGATATATTCAATGGTGGGATTCAGCCAGTTCACACCACTTCGGGAAAATCGGTTGTTAACTTTCTGAGCAATTTGGTGAACTGGTTGTTGGAAGAAATCATTAGGGCAGAGAACCGGTTGTTAAATTATTTGAATCCCTCCACTGGATATATGGATATGTAGCAGGCCAAAGACCAGAAGGATACAAGCGGCGTGTGTTATACTATGCAATTTGGGTAATCAGGTGAGTCAACTAGAAGTAGTCAGTTGTTGCTCTGTAATTAAAAAAGTAACATATGTGTCAATGGCACAGGCAGGAGTGTTACTGAACTGTTGAATTAATGAGCAAAAGTCAGTTGAGATGTTTGAAAGTAACCATGATGTGTTCCATTCTCACAGGTACAACCAAACAATTAAGTCTTAAATAAGTAAATTGAAATGAAACACCTTTCTCATACAAAATACTCAATAGAATGTGAAAAAAAGATGCCAGGTAGCTTAACCAACATCTTATCAATGGATTATGTTGTATCATCTAGTTAGAGGTACAAGTTTGTTTTATTTGGTGGCAACAAGTTTCAGAAGCATCATCACTAGTAGAAACATTTGCTCTCTGAGTCAGTATCAAACGTATTTGAAATCTAGAACTGACCAATTTTAACACATTGCTATGCCACACCACCAATTGTCAAACAGCTGATCAGCACACCAGTAAACAGCAATACCGGACTCCACACCCATCTCCAATCCTCTGGCTAGACACCTTGTTAACCCCAAGGTATACCAGAACATGTAACCCTTATTGCCTGCACACACTGTCCACACCTCTCTGCCCTTCTTTTGCCACTTTTCTGTGGTATTTGTTATTTGTCTTCACATCAGTGTTGATGATTGATGACTGTCTGGAAAAGTCTCTGGTTTGAGAAGTGGTTCACCATTGGCCACTGCTTAGAGAGTAAGGGCCATCAGCTGGCTTTGTGTGCAAGGCAAAATCAGAACTCCTGGTCTACTGATGTCTAACCTGGTGCCTTAATCTGACTGGTTCTATGTAGAGACCAATCATGTTCAAGGTGTATGGTGTTGGTGACAACCTTTAAAGCATTCCATGGCTTAGGACCGGGGTATATATGAGACCGCCTTCTGCCACCAACAGCCTCCCACCGCCCAATACACTCCCACAGAGAGGGGCTCCTCAGGGTGCTGTCGGCTAAACAATGTCGACTGGCAACACCCACGGGGAGAGCCTTCTCTGCGGGGGCACCAGCCCTCTGGAATGAGCTTCCCCTAGAGCTTCGTCTTAGCCCCGACCTGCATACCTTTCGCCGCACCCTGAAGACCCTTCTGTTCCAGCAAGCCGGATTGTCCTAATACGAATTTTATAAGGGGTGTATGTATGTTTTAATTTTTGAGCCAAATTTTATACATTTGATTTTAATTGGTTTTAAATTTTGTAAATCTATGTTTTTTAATATGGCTGTACACCGCCCTGAGTCCTTCGGGAGAAGGGTGGTATAGAAGTCTAATTATAAATATAAATAAATAAATGTTCTATTCCTGGCTGGGACACTGTAGATGACAATATGGGGTGGGGGTGGGGCGGGGAATCTCTTATTAAAACTTCCGTATGCAAAGATATTTTTCATGAAGTACATTTATTTACTATCGCCTGAAGCAGGTGGCCAATTTCTGTACATTGTAGAAAATATTTATACTATATTACATGGGATAAGTGTTATTGCTAGGATTAAGGGAAAAAAAATATGCACAGCACCTTTCAATTAAATTGCAGTGGCTAGCTTTGCCAGAGTACATTCTCATGCATTAGTAATTTGCATTTGTCAATATCTATGTAAATTTAATGCTGCAGACTCATTAGCATTATAAATGCTAATTTTTAATATGGTACATCCATACTAACTCTCCTCTAACTCTCAGTGTAGCTTCTCAGTAGCTGAGTATGGTTCTCTGGTGTGTCTCCTCCTTTCTCTGTAATTGGTTCCAATGGATATTAATGGTATGTTGGGTACCTAAGATTTAGAGTTCTCACCCCTCACATTCAATATCTACTACATCAGGGCTGTCAAACTCATGTCAGCTTGGCAGTGTCATGTGACATATCCAAACTTTTTTTCCCTTTGCTAAACCAGGCGTGGGCATGGCCAGCATGTGATGCATCCAGCCCATGGGCCAGGAGTTTGACAGTCCTAGGCTACATGAAGCCATTGTGATGTCATCCAGCAGCAAGAGCTATCATCCATATATTGATGATACACACTTGTACATCTCTATTCCGGACTGGAAAAGTGATCCCATTCAGAGGCTAAGCTTTGGTTTTGGGCTTCTTTGGATCACAAGGGGTTAAAATCCATAACTCTTACTGGTGTTGCTTTCCCTAAGACACACCTGGTGCATAGTTTGAGGATCCTCATGGATTCATGACTCCTGCTTGAGCAGCCATAGTTAGAGGAAGCTTTGCCCTCATCTTGTGTGTCAATTGAGCATAGGCATCTGGTATAAACCATGATGATAATCATCTGCATCATGAAGTCATTGCTCAACTGACAGAATGGTAATAGGTAATGTACATCAGTGTACATTATGTAATTATGTAATTTGCACCATTTGAACAATAACCCACATGATGTCACATGTCCTCTTCCCCCCTTTGCAGATGCCCATATCAGAAGAAAGGGTATAAATTGACACCTTGCTGCACTTCAACACCGGACCGTTTTTTTCCCCAAATAAAGAGAGAGTGAGAGAAAGGAAGGAGGGACATGGGACATGCTTTTGAAGACTACAGGTGTTTTTCCTTACTGCAAGGCAAATCCTCCTGCTGAGAGCTGGACTTTGTTTTTCTCCAGTTAATTTCTGCAACTGAGAATAAATTGAGATAGATCACCCTGAAACTGATCCAGTGTAAATCAGCTATTTCCATAAGGTGACCAACTTTTTTTTACAATGAGAAGGAGGACACAAATAAATTGAAGAAAAAAAATGTCATAAATAAAGGAAACATTTTATTCATTGCAACAATAATACAGAATACACTATAATATGATAAAGGCATAAAAGGCATTTGTAACAATAACATTTTATTTTGTTTTTTTTTTATTAAAAATTTATAAATTTTATTAAAGCACAAATTTGACATTTACACATCATACGACATATAAGCTTATCCTTTTTAAGCATTGTTTCATAGTGGTTTTCCATCTGATATTTTATACTTCTTCCCCTTTTTCTTAGTCTAATACTCCTTCTTTTTCCCCTCCTTCTCCTTTTCTTCTCTTCTCTTTTTTTCTCCCCCTCTTTCTCCCTATAAAGATCTATATATTTTGATTATATCTTTACTGTTTTACATTTCTACATTCATATTATATACTATATATATATATATATATATATATATATATATATATATATATAATATACAGCCAACCAGAGCACAGCCAACCCCCCTTCCAATCAGAGCACAGCCAAACCCCTAACCAATCAGAACACACCTCCGCCCAATCAGAACACAGCCAAGCTCCCACCCAATCAGTTCACCACCCCCACTGGCAGTTAAAAGGAAGAAACAGCTGCGATCACACACATTGCTCCTAGAAGCACGAAGCCGAGAACACCAGCCTGAAGATGACAAATGAGACTTCATTGAAACATTGCCAAGAAACCTCCAATTTTACGTGGGAGAAAACCCAAAAACCAAAGACCTATATATATATATATATGTATAGTTAATATTTCGGTTTCTTCCCGTGTAAATTGTGGATATATCCCTAAAAGGGTAGAAGCGACGTTTCGGCAGAATCCCATCTGCCATCATCAGGCTTATGCCAGTAGTCATTTTGCACTAACTGACGTTGGAATTTCAAATCTGGTGCTGGTATTCTGGGATGGCTCCACCTTTTCATTCTGATTGGTTGGGAGTCCCAGTATGTGTTTATTGGCTTGGCTTCGGGTGTATGGTCGGTTTTTCTCCACTAGGTGGCAGGGCTTTATCTTTGTGGCTGGTTTGAATATGATTTGGTTGGGATTTTTTTGTGCAATGTTTGGTCCATGTTCCACATATGGTGTCAAGATTCGTCTATGAGAGCAGGTTTCCAAATAGTAGGCAGACGTGAAGTGTCATCCCGTTTATTCATGCAATATGGTCTTTTTTCCATTTCTATTGCTTCTCTGATTATCCTGCCATTGAGATGTTCTATTTTTGCAACTGTTTTTGTTTTATTAAAATTAATGTTGTGTCCTGTTGTATTTATATGTTGAACTAATGATGATGTGTGTTCTTGCTTTTGTATTGAGTTTTTGTGTTCCTCGATGCGCACACACATCATTCTTCTGTTGGTCTGTCCAATGTATGTTGATGGGCAGGAAGCACATGGGATTTCATATATGCCTTGATCTTCTAATTCTATTTTGTCTTTGGGTTTTCTCAGAATGGACGATATCTTTCTATCTGTGCAAAATATGGTTTTGATGTTGTGTTTTTGTAGTACTTATCTACTTTGTAGATCTATTAGCTTCATACTTAAAGATAAGCAATATTATTCACCCCATATTATGGGACAAAATAAAACAGCTTGCCACCTGAGATCTGAAATAGAAACCACTCATAAAAACTTACAGACATTCAAAGAAACTTAAGAAATTAGAACATAAAAAACCTCCAACCACAACACAACATCACTTAAAACAAGTAGTATACAATGCTTCCGATAGAAAATTAACAACAGCAGAAACAAATGTCTTAGCAAAGGGCTTTAATTTTGCAGTGGCACCCAATAAAATTCCAATAGAAACCATCATATGCGAAGTTGAAACCAGCCTAAAGAAACTCAGTGCTGACGATGCTGATAAAGTCAGACATGACGTCACCAACATTCTATGTACTAGTAAACCACCTAAAAGCAACTTATCAAAAGAAGAACAAAAAGCACTGCAAGTTTAAAAAATGATAATAGCATAATGATATTACCAGCAGATAAAGGCAATGCAACAGTAGTAATGAACACAGTGGACTATGAAAAGAAACTGTCTGACTTACTTCAAGACGCCACATATAAACCCATAAACACAGACCCAACAACATATCTAGAAAAAACCCACGAAGATAAAGATAAAAATCAAGTACTATAAGTAAAGAAATCCAACAAAAAATTATCCCCAGAGAAAAATCATCAAAATGCCCAAAACTGTATGGCCTCCCAAAAATACACAAAGATGGAATACCTCTCAGACCCATAGTAAGTTCCATAGGCTCACCTTTACAAAATCTAGCCAGATATTTAGCAAAACATCTTCAACCTTATGCAGAATCTGCTGCTTCATATGTACAGAACTCATACCATTTCATACAAATAATAAAAAAGCAACACATAAAAGAAAGTGACCTTCTTGTAAGCTTTGATGTTGTATCACTATTCACACAAATACCTGTCAAAGAAGCCTTGTCATCAATTAAAAACAAATATCAACTACCAAAACATATCACAAACTTAACAGAACATTGTTTATCCAACACATATTTCATACACAGAGGACAGAGATATAAACAAGTAGAAGGTGCACCAATGGGATCACCATTATCACCAGTCATCGCTAATCTTTTCATGGAAGAATTCGAATCCAATGCCTTAGAAAAAACTGTTAACAAACCAAAATTATGGCTCAGATACGTTGATGACACCTTTGTGATCTGGCCACATGGAAGAGATAAATTGGAAAACTTCTTAGTACATTTGAACAGCCTCCATCCCAAAATAAAGTTCACCATGAAGATAGAATCAGAAAACCAGTTACCTTTCCTCGATGTATTAATTTATAAAAAATCTGATGGCACCTTAGGACATACCATCTATCAAAGAAGACACATACGAACCGCTATCTCAACGCCAAATCACACCACCATCCAGCACAAATAAACTCTGTTGCCAAAACATTAACCACAAGAACTAAACGTCTGGCTGATGAAGCACATTTACAAACTGAATTATATACACTAACTAATGTACTGACATCAAATGGGTTCTGTAGAAATAAAGTCATCAATATGATCAAACATACAACACCAAGACAGAATAAAAAACAACAAGAGGAACAAAACAATGGGAAAGCCATCTTGCCCTATATAAGGGGAACAACAGATAAAAATAGCAAAGTACTACAAAAACACAACATCAAAACCATATTTTGCACAGATAGAAAGATATCGTCCATTCTGAGAAACCCCAAAGACAAAATAGAATTAGAAGATCAAGGCATATATGAAATCCCATGTGCTTCCTGCCCATCAACATACATTGGACATACATACATACATACATACAAATACATACATACATACATATCATATATATAATTATATATATAATATATATATATTTCTGTTCTTTTCTCCTTGTATTTTTTTATTTTTTTTATTGATAGTGTTAAACCAATTATACCATTTATTCCATATTCTGTAGTAGTCTGTCTCTTCTTTTTCTTTAATTTATTTTGTTAATCTGTCCATTTCAGCGCATTCTAAGATCTTATCTATTAGTTCTTCTTTAGTTGGGATTTTTTCCTATTTCCAATTTTTTGCATATGTTATTCGTGCTCCTGTTAAGATATGTAGCATCAACATTTTATATTGTAATTATGCTTACATGCCTATTAATTATTATTTAAATGAGTACTTTTCCATTGAATGAATATTTTTTGTCAATGTATCATCTTCTAACAATATATTGGAAATATCTGAACAAGAAATATCCTTCATATAGAATTTTATGGCAAGTGCTGCAGCTAGAGTATCAACATTCAGTCTCGATTTCTCACTTTTCCAAAAATCATTAGCATTTGAAAAAACCCTTTCAACTGCTGCATTAGTTCCAGGGCAGCACAACGTAAATTGAACAAGAATAAATAAATTTTCACATGGAATGTGTTCATTTTTGAAATGGCTGAATATTTCCACCCATCTTTTATCAATTTCAACATGTTTATTTTCCCATTGTATTAATTTTTCAGAATTTAAAAATACATTCAGTCTTCTAATTTCTTCAAAGAGACAATTGTCATCTATTTTAATGTCTGGCATTTCTTTAAATAAAAACTCAACACAAGATTCAATATCTGTCCAATATACTTGTGATGAAGTCAAAAAACACCATTGAAAACTGTTATTTCCTGTGATGTTTGTTTCAGACCATTCTTCAATATATTGAAAACATGTTTGGTAAAAATTCTGCACTTCTTTGATAAACTTTTCTGTTATGCCCGGATTTGATTCCTCTAAGTATGACAATTTTCTTTTTAAACTAAAGGAAGAAATTTTTCTTCAAATCAGTTTTATATTGAAGGATAAAGTCATTCAAAATAAGACTAACTTCTGTAGCTGAAATGCGTTCACTTTCAATCTTTTGAATCATTTTGAAAAATAGATGCTTGATTATGTACAAAATACATTAATATCACAGATATTTCATTATTGACAAACGATTCCAGGATTTTAGGACATTTGTCTCAACTTAAAAAATATGAACGGAGGGGCTCAAATAATTGTAAAACATGCTGTATAGCAGGTGTTAGAGCAAGCCATCTAACTTTTGAATATCCTAAAAGTTTTTTGTATTGAACATTCGCTTCTTCACAAACTTGTTTTAAAATAGTCACACAAATGGTAAAATGACTAAAATACAAATAAATTGTAGTTATTATTACTTCTACATCAATTGCCATGGCACATGATGCCATGTTGATTGCATTTGACAAAATATGTACATTACAACCTATTCCTAGTATTTTCTTTTGGAGTAAATCTTGTAACTTTGCATACACATTATTCATCCTTTTGCGTCTTCAGCACCAAAATTTGTGTTTGTATTATCAGCTGTTAGTGCAACAACTTTGGATTTCAAATTATTTTCATTTATTACTCTGTATAGATGGTTTGACAAAATTTCAGCAGTTTTGCCCTCAATGGATTATAAATTTAAAATTTTTACTTGAATGCCCTTGGTAACATTAAAATATCTTACTAGTATTGGATACAATTTAGTTTCATTATGATTGGATACATCAGATAAAACCGTTACAAAT